TTCGAGACAGGGTTTCTCTGTGTAGCCCTGGCTGTCCTGGAACTCACTCTGTAGACCAGGCTGGCCTCAAACTCAGAAATCTGCCTGCCTTTGTCTCCCGAGTGCTGGGATTAAAGGTGTGTACCACCTCTGCCCAGCTCCTAGGTGAGAAGTCTTAACTGGGTGAGTAGGTCATTGAATGAAAGGGATAACAGTTAGTAATGGGATTAAATACATTTGGCACAGCCAAAGTGATGTCAGGTTCAGTCAATGTTCTGAGTTGTGCAGTGTAATTTAAACTAATGTGAGTAGTATGTCAAAGATTAGCAAGGAAATTCATTCAGGAACACATAGTGTATAGGTGAAAAACTACCTCTCCAATTGAAATATCCCCACCCCAAAGCTTACAACAGAAATAAAAAGAAACATTTCCATCTATTGAAATAAGATTTCATACAAAGATAAATATATTTAAATTTTAACTATAAGCAAATTCAAACAGAATACTATTCACAGTTGTCTGAATAGATCTTACAAAACATAAAAACCAGGATGCTGTCTGGGTGCTGCTGGTGAGAACAACAGGGTCCGAACTCTCACAACAAACCAAAGACAAGTAACGAACACGACCAATCCAACGATCATCATTCTGGTCAACCTCCAGTCTCAAGAAATTCAAGATTTTTTCCTCCTTCCTCTGCCTGATTTGGTTCGTGACCGGAAAGTAAATTGGTCTTTAAAGTCCACTAAGCAATTTGTAGCTTCTGAAACAGGAACAAAAGACTTGATAGGAGACTCATTTAAGTTGAGCAGTGAGAGGGAACTCTGCATCTCTCTGCTGCAGCCAGCCTCTTCCACCTCTGGTGAGGGCATCCTGGACAGAAAGAAAAAATTAAATATATTGATATATATTCACTATATGTATATATATAGAGAGAGTGAATTCAAGTGATATATATGTAGTGTGTGTGTGTTCTATGGTTGCTGGGAATTGAGCCTGGGTCCTCTAGAAGCACAGCCAGTGGTCTTAACCACTGAGCCATCTCTCCAACTCCCAGCCTTTGTTTAAAAAACAAGTTCTCACCATATAGACCCAGCTGGTCATGAATTCAGAGATCAGTCAGTCTGCCTCTGCCTCATGTGTACTAGGATTAAGTTCAATATTAACCTGCTAAGCACCAAGTATGTGCTATATAGTATAGTATTATACACTATAGTGGGAGCTTAAAATTACATTAGTACACATAATTTCTGTAGTGCTCTAGCCATATAAGCACTACCATTCTGCTTTTACAGATGAGGATACTGAGTAAACTCATGGAACCTAAAGCCATGGAGACAGGGGGAGACTGTGGAGTCAGATCCAAATTCCCAAACTGCCCAAAATCTGCTAGAATTTGGGTTTGGGTGGAATGGAAAAGAGAAAATAACAAACAGTTCTACTTATTTTAACATCAATACAGCTATCTAACCAACTCCTAGTCCAGATACAGCAGGAGCATTACACTGAAGACTCACATTACTTCCACAGTGTTTTCTATTGTATTAGTCTGACTATCATTGTACACAAAGACTCCATCATCAGGTCACACTTGCCAGAGCTGGACAGCTGCACTTCAGCGTATACCTTAACTTACCTGAAGGGTCTTGCCTCTGAAGACTTGGGTTTTTTCTCTACACCTGGAGAGAAAATAAAAGTACTAACATTAGCAGTCATAGCTTCTCCCGTCTGGTGCTTTTCATCAGCTCTATTCAAGAAGCTCAGACCTCCAATTCTCGGCCAATAGAATGTGAACATTAGCACCCTACAGGCTCAGCTGCAGGGGAACACTTAGGAATGAATCATTTCTGACTAAATCTATGTCATATCTGGACTCAGGCAACAGGGCTGCCAGGAGAAACCGGCCACCTGACAGAGTCACACCTGGCGATCTAGAAGCAGGACGTGGGTCTGTCATCACAAGTCATCACAAGGCAAAGCACACGTGTTTGGTGGTAATGAAATACTATAACTAGACAAGAAGCAAAACGTTACAGTTCCATTTGCATTTGGTAAACTTTAACAATAGAAACAACAGGAGGAATAGCATCAAGCACCCATCCAAAGCCAGGGAAGATGTTAGCGTTTCCGAGACACAAGCCTTGCAATCTCTAAAGCCACGACTACTCATGCTCCTCGTGAATCTACTCTGATACTCCCTAAATACTCAAGGCACACAAAGAGGAATTTAGAATTCTAACTGCAGAATTACTTCCTACAATTCCTTAGGAGTGTACGTTGGGACACTGAGCTAAAGGTAACATGATTTGCAAACATTCAGAAGAGGCAGTAATGTCTGCGTGTCTGATTTCCCATGACTGCTCCTTTAGAAGACCTGCTTTCTGGCATGTGTTACTTTTTGCAATTTGGAACAACTCCCCAGATTAACAGGCAGTCCTGACTCTAGACTTTATAAAGCATTACATTAAACACATGAAGAGTAAGACAGGGTATCTCTCCATCTGTCCTTGAAAAGAGACAACCTAGATTAGATCTCAAAGGCTGGCTGACTGGCTCCAAAAATTCCCTCATATATCCCCAACAATCAGTTGAAGGTCAACAGTTGCTGTCTTCACTAGATGCCTAGACAGAAACCCTGAAGACTGGTCTTGGCGCTTCACCTGTGGTCCTATGCTCAGACTGCTCCAAGAGACTGAGGAGTCGGCCTTGACTATGCCTTTTTTCCTGTGACAGAGAAAAACATACAGAAGGATTACTTCATGCAAAGATTTAAAACACAACTGACTTAGCCCAGATCAAAAATTTCCCAGAAGAATGTGGTGGCACAGCTGGGACTAGCTTACTCTTTTGCTTTATAATAAATGAGAGTAGATGAGAAAAACAGCAAACTGTAATGAAGAGGATAAAGCACCATATCAGGAACATAACTTTCCAGGTGTAGTGGTGCATACCTTTAACCATAGTATTCAACATGCAGAAGGAGGTAGATCTCTGAGTTCAAGGACAGCCTAGACTACATAGGAAGTTCCAGGCCAGTCAAGGCTACACAAGGAGACCCTATAAGAAAGGAAAGAAAGAAGGAAAGAAGGAAAAAAGAGAAATAGAAAGAAAGAAACTCAAGAATGGTTTCAGCATCAAATCAAATCAGTTCACAAATGACATTAAAGAGCCTGTGGGTTAGAGGGATGGCTCAGGGGTTAAGAGCATGCTGCTCTTCCAGAGGATTAGAGGTCAACATCCACATCCACATGGTGGTTCCAGGGGATCTCACGCCTCTAGGCTCTGACCTCCTAGGGCACTGCATTCATGTGCATACACACTCACATGAACACATACACACGTACGTATAACTAAAATTAATAAAAGAAAATCTTAAAAAAATAGAGAATAGCTTCTGCTCTATGTTAAATTTCAAGAGATTTTTTAAAAACAAAAACAAACAACTCAGTTTCAAGGTAACTTCTACAGGCAGCAATGTCAAGATAAATAAACTGGTGGCTTAATGCAGAGCACTGGCTGCTCTTCCACAGGACGCAGTTTCAATTCCTACACCCACACTGTGACTCACAGTTGTCTGTAACTCCAGTTTCAGGGGATCTGATAATCCTCTTTCAAACTCCATGGACACTAAGTACACATGAAGTATACAGAGAGACGTACATGTGTGCAAAACAATCATACACATAAAATTTTAAAAATTAAATATAAAAAATTGTTTTAAAAGATAAATCAATGAGCTCTTTGGTGTAAGTAAGTACTCACCTATGAAACTCAACTCTAGGTCACATCACGGGGGCTCAAGAGCCCTTGAGTCTCCCGTGATTAAGAGCCTTGCTTCTCTTCCCGAGGACCCAGGTTTGATTCCCTGGCCCCACGTGGCAGCTCACAACCTTCTGTAACCCAATCTAGGGAATTCAATACTCTCTTCTGACCTCTGTGGCACTAGACACACAGATTGTACATAGATATACATGTAAACAAAACACCCAGATACATAAAATAAAATTTAAAACATCTGGTTCATAGAGATATAACTTCCTCCTGGCATGGTGGAGAAAGGTTTGGTCTCTGCCCTCTGTAAAGTGGTTAGTATGCTAATACCTCTTGATATACTGTTACTGCTTTATCTTGATCAGTAAACCAAGACTTGCTCTTCTTCATCTTTCATCACAAGACCCAGAAAGCACTTAGATTTTCCCACAGACCAGAAGCCATGCCTTGTAGTTTCTAAAATCTAGAAACAGAAGGGATTCACAAGTTATTTCACATGTGTTCCTAGCAGTGGGGACATGGATTCCCTACACTTTCTGAAAAGCAATTAGATCTAATATTTCGAAAGATGTTGAAATGTTCACTTACACTTCAGGAAATAGCTGGTAGTTCAAGATTAATGGAATCCCCCTCCCCTGGTTTTTAAATTATTGTTCTTCTGTTCTGTTTCTATTGTTTTATTGTGGTTATTGTCATAGCTTCTGTTTTTAAGATAGGATACACTACGCAGATCATGGTCTGAAACTCACTCTGCACCTGGGACTGGCCCTCAAGCTCTCACACCTCCTGAGTGCTGGGATGACAGGAACCTGCCTATGACAGCCTCTAGACTGTTTTAAATGGTCTTTAAATATAGAAGGACTGGGGGAAAACCTAAATGTCTAGTAATAAGATAATGGTTAAATGACCATCTATATGAAATAACATTAATAGTACTGTTTTTTCTGGTTGAGGAGCAGGTAATATAGGTGGAGAGGGGCTTAGGACGGCCTATGTGGACCATGAGGGCCTCCAACTTGTGTCCCCCCTCATTAATGGTGGATGGTGGGACTGCAGACATGCTCCAGCACAGCGAGCGAACAGTGACGCTTCAGAAGTCTACAACAGACCCCGACATTCACCCTACCCTGCAGGGCTCCTTCTCATCTGAGAAACCTTTACATGACCCTGGGTATATAGGTATATAAAATCAATGAAACAAATCAGATGTTTATTGTTTTATATTATTTTTATTATGAAAAAAAATCATAATAAAATCATCTTAAAACAATTCTTTGAAATATATATAATGTTACCACTTACTAAAGATAAAAGTAAATGTGCAGAATAATGAATAGATATGTTGTGGTGTGATTTCGTTTTCACTGTTTTGGTTTTTGAGATAGGGTCTCCTGTAACCCAAGCTGACCTTGAAACTTGTTTATAGCTGAGAATAACTCTGAACTTCGGATCCTCCTCCTCCACCTCCCAAGTGCTAGAAGTGTAAGTGTGTATCACCACGCTCGGTATTAATTATTTGGTGTGAGGTCTTCATTCATACAGGCAATCATTCTACCTTCGAAGCCAAGCCTCCAGCCCACACTTGTCGACTTTTCCATAAGAATTCGATTCTGCCTGAATAGTTGACAGTGCAAAGAGCAGGGCATCTTTCTCAGAGTTGACTGATACTTTGATTTTATTATCATCAGTGATAAGAACACTGCTTCACATAAATATATATTACAAACTGACATATATATGTTTAGGGTCATTTCAGAAATTGCTGGAAATTTCTGTCTTAATCCCAAGCCAAAATTTACCACTAATTTTTTAGGCAACTCACATCAGCGACTCAAATAGCAATTTTTAAAAATCAACATTCTCACAAAATACAACCAAAAAAGATAAAATAATTTGGGGCTAGGATGTCAGCAAAGTGACTGCTGTGCAAAACAAAGACCTGAGTTTGGATGCCAAGAGAAATGTGAAAGGCTGGCATGATTCCGAGCAGGGATGGCCTAGCATGAGGGAGGGTTGGAGTACATAAAGGCAGACTCCCTGAGCTAACTGACTGACTAGTCTGGCTAGTCAATGAACACCAGGTTCAGTGAGAGACTGTCTCAAATGTTAAGTTGGGCACCTGAAATATGCTTGAGTACTTGGATGGTAAGGTAATATTAAAAGTTATGCTTTTTATAATTAAACCATTATATTTTTATAAGAGTAGAAAACTTTGTATGTACTGCAAAAAGTATAGCAATTAATAACTTACATAGTCTTGGATCTGAGAGGAGGAGTTTCAGGCAATATCCTTAATCTACAAAAGCCCCAAGTCCAGTGAGAGACTATGCCTCAAAATAGATGGATAAATCCTGAAGGCTAACACCCAAGTCTAACCTTGGCCTCCTATATAATGCGCACACACACACACACACACCTAACCTTTATCTATAAGCATAAACAAGACAAATAGGAAAGAGGGAAGGGAAGAGAAGGAAAGGAGAAAAGAAAGCCAGAACAGAACTAAAGCTTTTCCTCAAACACTGCATATATACCTTTGATGTCTTCAGTCGCTGCTGCTGTTTCCCCTCCACAGGTGCACACACTCTTGGTCTCCTCATCCCTTCAGTCCCATCTTCTCTGTCAACCTTTGCAAGCTGGAGACAGGCCTCTACATGACAGTGATACTCCCCAAGTGGAACCAGGGACTTACATAGATAACACTTCTCCTTCCTGGGTGATCAGAAGAGGGGGAGGGAAAGAGGCAAGTTTAAGATTTGCTTTTGCCTCCAGGCTCTTGGAATATTTCAAATTGTCTTTTTACATCTCAAAAATGTCTGTAGGGAAGACTTGTCAACCAACGCAGACTCACTCAGTAGGATCACCAATAAAACTAACCCTGTGCCAATCATAAGGACTAAGTGATTAGCAGTTTTCCCTGGCTGTTTCCTTGTACCCTGCTGTTGCAGCAGTGGGATGTAATGAAGTCAGCTCTCCTAACCATCTCAAACAATGCTGATTGCTCCTCAGACATAAAACAGTCTGTCAAACTCTTCTGAAATTAAATGTAATCATTTTTTCAAAGAGAAGTTAAAATTTTGACAGAAAGGGGAGCACTGAAAGCATGAAATCGATAATGACAGTTTACCACCATGGATGAGTGTGTTTGATTAGTAAGTCAAGTCTGTCTATATGTTAACTTCCCTAACACTATCACCTGAAACATCAACTAGGAAGTTACTAAATCATGTGGCTCTGTCATAAGCTTCTGCATATTACATAGTTATTTTCATCTTTTTATAAAAAAAGATCCTTTAGAGAAAGAAAAAAAGTATGTTCTTGATGTATCAATAAAACCAGAACTGTGGGAGTTGGTGAGGAATGCTTACTAACTACAGTCTTACTTTAGATAGAAAGTAACTATCTTACTTTCTCTGCAGTCAGTATCTTTCAACATCATTTCTAAATTAATTCTTCAGCCCCATTAGGAAAGAATTATTCTCCCCACGGTCCTTACAGCCAATTAATATCAGAACTCACAGCTGATAAGTTCATCTTAAACTTTCTGAAACATGTTATCTTAAACTTCCTTTTCTATTACTACTCAGTAACTATGGCAGGAAATTAGCTCTATGGAAGATTTTCTCTGAAGGATAATAAAATAACAGAAATTAAGATCTTAAACTACAACTGCCTGCAAGAATGCAAGTAAAACTCTACCTTATGAGGAAAGTTAGATTAGTATATCATCAAAATTCATCAATTAATGCAAAAAGCATTATTAATTCTTACTATTAGATTAGTACAAAAATAATTTTGTTTTCTGCACTGTTGTAATTTGTCATTTGATACTGGAATACATTCTTAAATCAATGAGGTTATGCTGTACATCATTGTAATGCACATTTTTCACTTTTTTTTTTACTAACGACATATTTGCTGTTTATATTTACTTTAGAATACAGAAACAATGTGAAACAAAAGCAAATTTGAGGAGTGTTATTTGGCAAAATAAGTGGTAAAACAGCTGAGGCAATGGGCCCCATCCACAGAAACTGATAATGAGCATGTAGTACCACAGTGCTTCAAGACAGTCTGCAAAGAAGACAAGGAATTTGAAGGTAAGGAGCTTAGCGGCTGGCCATGAGGAACAGGAAGCATTCACTGAAGCCAATTCTTACTTGACTTGAGAAGTTGCCAAAGAACACAACATGAATCTTGCAAGCTGTTGCAGCATCGAAGCTGAAGCAGGAAGATAAGGTCTGATGACTAGGTGCCTCATGGTTGAACCAAAAATATTCAAGTTTTGAGCTGTCATTCCTCTTACTCTACAACTATAAACCATTTCTTATTAAAACTGTGACATGCAACAAACAGTCAATTGTGCATGACCACTAGTGATGACCAGTTCAGTAGCTACATCAAGAAGGTCCAAAGAATTCCCCAAAGCCAAGCTTGTACCAAAATAAGGTCATGGTCACTGTTTGGTGGTCTGCTGTTGGTCTGATCCACTGCAGCTTCTGAATTCAGTGAGACCATGACGTCTGAGACTTGTCCTCAGCAAATTAAGCACCGAGAGCTATGATGCTGCAGCCAGCACTGGTCAACAGAGACTGCCTAAATTCATCATCAGGACACTAGACCACACACTGTACAACTAACACCTCAAAAGTTAAACAAACTAGACTACAAAATTCTGCTTTATTTATCTACTTGATCTTCTACCAATCAACTACCACTTCAGTATCGCAACAACCTTTTTGAAGGAAAATGGTCTATAAATCAGCAGAATGCAGAAACATAGGAGTCAGTGAGCTGGATCAATGGGTGAAAGGTACACTTCAAACCCTGATGACCTGAGTTCAATCCCTGGAACCTATGTAGTAGAAGAAAGAATCAACTCCTAGCTGTCCGCTGACCTCCACACACAATGCATTAAGTATTTGGGAGGGGGTTGGGGAGGAGAAAGAGACTTTCTAAAAGCTCCTCATATCCTGAAACATGAAGTTTAATACTACAAAAATAAACATTTTTCATCAGCAAAAAAAATGCACTGACTATAATGGTTCCCACTTTGATTAATAAAGTATGTCTGAACCTAGTCACAATTTAGAATTCATGCTGTAAAACCTCTGGACCAACCTAAAGATGAATGGCAGCAGCAATATATGAAGACCTGAACACTTAACCTCAGGACAAGTTTGACTTTGTTACTGTTGGCTACATGACTTAGTTACATATAATTTACCTTTATTTGGAGAAAAAAAAGAAATAAAGAAGACAAAAAGAGGCTGAGGGCATCGTTTGGTGGTTAGCTGCCTGCTTAGCACATACAAGGTCCCAGATTCGATTCCTAGTACTTGAAGGGACGGAAGGGAGGAGAGAGAAGACCAAGTACGCCACTGACTACGGAGAGGACTGATGCACGCTATCAGGTGCTCATTACACAAGTGCTGTCAGTGCTAGTTCATGCACATCCTATCAGATGCTGAGCATAAATAAAAAATGAAAACAAGTGTCTCCACTTTAACAGCTAGTCCAAGTACACAGAGATATTAATGAAAATTGTAGCAATGTGAGGGATACAGTCCAAGAGGAAGGTCTATACTAACCTAAGATCACAGAGAAGGGAGAACAAAAAGAAGTTGTTAGTTGGTACTAAGTTACAGCAAGATAGTAATAGAGAGTTCCGGCTTACTATTATATAGTAGTGATGACATTTTAACAAGGTAGAAGAAGTTTTTAATGTTTTTAACCATGAAGAAATGACGAATAGACATGTAAACTGATTTAACCATTACACAATGTATACACTGTCAAACATTATATGGAACTCCATTAATATGTACAAGCTTAAATTTTTCACACATTAGATTTTAAAATGGAGATCATTACAAAAAATCATAACTAATCAAAATACAGAGAACAACAGATTGTGAGAGTCTAACCCCAAAGGGTATATCTACACTAAAAATCCTGAACTTAGCTAAGGCTCAGGAAGTACCATGGCAGAGGGAGAACACACATTTTAAGAGATAGAGGAAAGAAGTCTGCTGTGAGAATGTGTCTCCTAGGCTGGAGAGATGGCTCAGTGGTTAAGAGCACTGACTGCTCTTCCAGAGGTCCTGAGTTCAATTCCCAGCAACCACATGGTGGCTCACAATCATCTGTAATGAGATCTTCTGGTGTGTCTGAAGACAGCTACAGTGTACTCACATACATAAAATAAACAAAATCTTTTAAAAAAGAGAGAATGTGTCTCCTAAAAACTACACCTATGATATCACAATAACATGATACTACCAACAGACATGTTTACATGGAAAGGGGGAAATCTCCCAGGGCCCTACAACCCTAGACAAAGAAGAAATGACCACTAAGAATTAGCCTCTCCCAGGGATAAGCCACTAAATGGTTATCCAATACTAGTGGTCAGCCCAGAAATCATACATACAAGTAAACATACTCAGCAGGTAGGTGTGTGTGTGTGTGTGTGTGTGTGTGTGTGTGTGCACGCGCGCGCGCACATAACTATAATAATCAAAGACATAATCTTGAGAAGGAGTGATAAAGGAGGGATGGGAGGGACTAGGAGGAGGGAGGAGAGGGAGAAATTGTGTAATTATAATTTAATTATATTTTAATGAAAATAAAGTTTTAATGAAGAAAAAACCTGAAAACAAAAATTTCTGCCTAACAACTTACTATTCTAATGTGCTGTTGGAAATGGCTCTACTTTCAGGAGGCAATATCTACACCTGCCCTCTTCCTCAGAATGCGCTCTCAGTCAAGCTGTAACCCACATCCCAAGGAAGTCTTCCATATTGCTCAACCTCCCGCAACTCAACTTCTATATTATGACATTGCAAAATGTCCACTGCTTCCCCAAAGCACCAAACACCAATTTATAAATTCAAAGAAAACAGAAACCTAAGAACAATGCAGAAGCAGGCTCATTTTTAACATACTGAAAAGGATGAGTGGTGTGCAATGAAATTATCAATAAGAGAAAGAATTCAGGCTTTCAAACAATGATGGTAGTATGGGCAGAGAAATACAGGGGACAAGAACTAGTGGCATCACTTGGTCCAGGTACTGGTGTGTCAGATAAGGTGAATGAAGTGTACCCACTTACCTGTTGGTGTCCAGGGCCGGCTGTACAGCTGTCTTAACGTCACCTTTCTTCTTGGCCTCTCTTCGTCTCCGAGTCAATACTTCCCCCATTTAAAAGAAAAAAAGTTAGCTGGCAATAGACTCAGGATATAAAAGAAAAAATTCATTAAGAAGAAACAGTTTAAACCTGATCTGTGGGGAAGAAGTCCACTAACTGGGAAACCACAACCTTTCTAATATTGAAGATAATATGAGTGACCAAAACTGCCGGCCACAAGACGCTCCCTCTTTGTCACCAATCCATGAGATACAAAAATCTAGCTCAATCCAAGGAAGGTTTCTATGTTCTACCTACATATCAGTCAATCAAGGAACATATACATCCTCTACCAAAATTCTGTCTAGTACAACACATATCCAATGAAGTACTGTATGAATGCAGTAATGATAGCTACAGGTGAGCTATCATAAGCCCCAATCCTTACGAAATCTTCAGTGTTCCACTCTGTGAGGAAGACTAGAACAGTAAGCAGAGCCGGTCTCCTCCACTACACTAGGACCACCTCTGCTTCTACTGGGCTCAGTACAGGTGAGAGAAATATTTGTCTCACATCAAAATATATCTGCTTATAAAATCATAATCCCTCTTAATGATCTTGTAGGTAATTTATTCAAGTGTTTTCTAGTCTTTGGCAAACAAAAAGTAAACGTTTCTCTTCAAAGTACGCCTTCCTTACCTTTTTTTTTTTTTTTAAAGAATTTGGTAAGATTTTTTTTTAAGTTTTTTTAAATTTATTTCATGTATGTGAGTACACCGTTGTTGTCTTCCAACATACCAGAAGAGGGCATCAGATCCCCATTATAGATGGTTGTGAGCCACCATGTGGTTGCTGGGAAATGAACTCAGGACCTCTGGAAGAGCAGTCCATACTCTTAACTGCTGAGGGAGGGAGGGAGGGAGGGAGGGAGGGAGGGAGGGAGAGAGAGAGAGAGAGAGAAAGAGAGAGAGAGAGAGAGAGGAACAAGAAATGAAAAACAGGGCTGGAGAGATGGCTCAGTGATTAAGAGCACTGGCTGCTTTTCCAGAGGTCCTGAGTTCAATTCCCAGCAACCACATGGTGGCTCATAACTATTTTTAATGAGATCTAATGCCCTCTTCTGATCTTCAGGCACACATGCAGGAGACTGCTGTATACATAATAAATAAATCTAGAGAGAGAGAGAGAGAGAGAGAGAGAGAGAGAGAGAGAGAGAGAGAGAGAGGAAAACGGAGTAAAAACATGTGTACACACACACACACACACACACACAAATACATATATAAAGAAAGGAAAAACAACATACTCCTCCCCACCCCCTAGTAAAAAGAATGGCAAAGAAAGGGCTCTCTCAGTGGACAAAGGGGCCTGCCTTTGATCTGAGTTTCTGATCTGGGAAGGACCCATCCTGTGGATGGAGAGCACGGGTGTCCACTAGCTCCACTCATCTCCACGTGTGTGGTCGTATGCTCATGCCTCCCTGCCCCACTCAAACATGCACACATACTACTCACATATAGGATTAAATAGATTAAATCTGAAAAAAACCACATATAACCTGGTAAAACGCATATAAAGGTCTTCTACATCACCCAGAAGGGATCTCTAAGATGACTGTCATGCATCTAACGCAGCCAGAGATTTGTGTCAAGGCTGCCTTCTCTCACTGTGAAGTTCAAGCACAGTGAGGAAGATTGTCTTTAGTAAGCAGACACTTTTATTTCACTGATAACCTCTAACTCAAACACTCGCATAATTATGTTGATCGTTCCTAAATGTAAGTCCTCACAAACCCCAAACCAGACATCACTGGGTCCATTTTAACAATGAGCACATATTAAAAGCTTAGCAGTCTCAAGTTTGTAAATTACTCATTTGGAACATGATTTAAAGTTAGAGAGACTCCAAAGCCAGTACTACAGTGCTAAGGAACCCCATCCCTGCTCAGGCTGCAGTGAGTTCAGGGTTAGAGACGAGCTTGCCTGTTGTTTGTTTCCTCATGGTGGTGGGGATGCAACTCAGAGCCTCATGAATGCAAAGCAAATCCTCTACCACTGCTTACATTCCCAGTTTCTCTCTTAAGAGGTGCATTTGAAAGTTCATCTCTTGACTCTAACATACAATGCTGCTATAGTTACCTCTGTGCCTAGTTTGCTCAATGTCTTTCCTCATAAAGACACAAAAGTATTCATATAAAAATATTCTTGGGCTGGAGAGATGGCTCAGACATTAACAGCACTGACTGCTTTTCCAGAGGTCCTAAGTTCAAATCCCAGCAACCACAGGGATCCGATCCCCTCTTCTGGTGTGTCTGAAGACAGCTACAGTGTACCCACATATACAAAATAAATCTTTTTTTAAAAAAAAATATTCTTACCAATACTATCACCCTAAAAAGTTTACACCTTGAAAACATACAATTTCATATACTTGGATTTGAACGTCCAGAACAATTAGATTTTGTTTGTTTGCTTTTTTTTTTTTCCAAGACAGGGTTTCTCTGTGTAGCCTTGGCTATCCTAGAACTATATCAGTAGATCAGGCTGGCCTCCAACTCACAGAGATCTGCCTGCCTCTGCCTCCTGAGTGCTGGGATTAAAGGCGTGCACCACCACTGCCAAGCACCACTTAATCATAAAATCATAAGAAGACAACCAGACAGGTGTGCTGCATACCTTAATTCAGTATGAGCTTTACAGTATCACTCCTGAAAGACTCAGAAATGTATAGGACTTATAAGGCCCTCCCAGAGGTTTGATAAAACAGTAACCAAGGTGAAACTGCTGACAGGTTGGCTAGAGAGCTCCAGGGATAAAGGTTCTGTGAGTGCTCATCCACTTGGAGGTGGAATGTTCCGTGATACACCTGCCTAAGAGTCACCCATGCACCTAGTAAGTATGCCTCAAAGCTCACTCTTCGCCAAAGTAGACTTGAGTGGGATCATTTCTTTGGTCTGTTGTTGGTGTCCTATCTGGGGTTACACCTCTCCAAGAAAAGAAAAGTCCCACAACACTGGCTCTTCAACATCAAAGCACAGTGAGTAGGGTAACATGGGTCAGCGCTAAAAACAAGATGAGAAGAACAAAGATACTGGAGATTCTAAGTGGATACGGCTGCAGGCAGACAACAATGTGTTTTTCATTATATATACATTATATACACATATTTTCTCCTGAAGCCCAACAGCAGTTTCTCTGTGTAGTCAAGGATTACCTCTACTTCCCAGCAGCAGTATTACAGGTATACACTACCACACCTGGACATCATTCCACACACTACATCCATCACCAACTTTAAACTATCGAGTGGCATAAGCCTATAATTCTAGCACTCAGGAAGCTGAGACAGGAGGATTGGCACAGGTACAATGCCACCCAGACTTCAAACCTGCAGTCTTCCTGCCTCAGCCTCCACACTCAGCTAAAATGTATTTTTAATTTGTACCTACAGAGTACAATATATGAAACAGAAATAAACAAATAACTTTCAAAAAAAAAACACCTCTCATTCTGAATCTATGAGCTCAGGTTACATGTGTCGTCTGTCTGCTGCCCACTTCCACACTGCCCACAGTACCATGTTAATTGCTGCTCTATTCTGTACATGCCTTACAAGTTTGTATCTAAGTGATTTACGTTATCTTACATTAGCACCCCTTTCTTTTACAGTTCCAATAACGTCTTCCTCTGAAACAACACAGGCCCCTCTCTGTGCAGCTCCCTGAGTAGCTGTAGCATGGAATCACAACTATGTACGCACACTTCTCACCTATCCAGCTAAACCATCATTTCCATGAGACTAGCGCTTATTTCTAATTTGTGTATCTCCCCATGCCACCCTGTCTTCTAAATCCACATTTTTTCCTATTAAACCTATCCCATCTTCACAACTGTTACCACTTTAACATAGGTACTAACAGCAATATAGCTAATCTAAGAATCCTGAGTACTACAAACGCCATGCTAATACAAGAAAGATCACCGGAGAGCTTCACAAATTACATTCAGATCAGCCACAAACAAGCATATAAGACAGGAAAGGCCCAAATTTGTCTAACTTGAGAAATATATCATGTATGACTCTGTACTATAACCATCTACCTAGGCCCAAAAGTAAACACAGTTAAAGCATGTAGCTTTGTAAACCTTACTACTATGTAGCTCTCTTTTTTTTTTTTTTAGATGTTTATTTGTTCTGTCTGCATATATGTCTGCAGGCCAGAAGAGGGCAACAGATCTCACTACAGATGGTTGTGAGCCACCATGTGGTTGCTGGGAATTGAACTCAGGACCTCTGGAAGAGCAGTCAGTGTGCTTTAACCTCTGAGCTATCTCTCCAGCTACTATGTATCTCTTACTAACTTATTTTTGTTTGTTTTGTTTCTGAGACAGAGGGTCTCTACCCAGCCCTGGTTACCCTGGAACTCTCTGTGTAGACCAGGCTGGCCTTGAACTCACAGAGATCCATCCACCTGCCTCTGCCTCCCAAGTGCTAGGATTGAAGGCATGGGCCACTACTCCTGATTTAACTTAGTTTTACCATTTTGACTCTTAGGCCTTGATGTCCTTACTTGTACCCAACTGACAGCTTATCTACTCATTAAAAACACAGACCCTAGAAATACTACATAGATAGGAAGTAGTTCATAATTTATTAAATGAATTATGTTTAATGTTTTGGCATAATGTTTTATATATCTACCCACATACATTACAGAGTGCCTCAGATTCTCATGACCCTTCTGTTGGACTAATTTTATAGATAAGGAGCCTGCTTTTGAAAGAAGAAAATATTACTCAACTAGCAAATATTATTGATAAAATCTGAATTTCGATATGGCTAGCTCCAAAGCCTACATTTCGTCCACTCTATCATACTGCCCAAAACAAAATGCTAACTCGACTCTCCTAGCTCTACCCTGGTCCCCATTCTAATAATCCATTATCCAGCAGCAACCTGAGTGACACTTTTCTTAAAATTGTCATGCTCTGCTTAAACATCCATTCTTTGCTCAAGTCTTTCCAGTGATTACGCTCAAAAGGAAAAGTCACAGTCCCTTTAGAGCCTAGAGCTCTGTGATCTACCTGCCCCTTCCCAGTCTGTCTCTTGTTTATCTCTCTCATTTGCTCTACTCCAGCTGTATTTAACCCTGTTGACATACGAGGGTTTTGAAGCTACGTTTCCCCCCTCTCTATCCCTAACTGTCCTAGTCAGGGCTTCTGTTGCTGTGATAAGACCTAATGCAACTTGAGGAGGAAAGGGTTTATTTCAACTTATAGTTCCGTACACTGAAGGAAGTCAGGGCAGGAACCTGGAGGCAGGAGCTGATACAGAGGCCACAGAAGAGTGCAGCTTACTGGATTACTCTTCATGGCTTACTCAGGCTGCTTTCTTATAGCATCACCAGCTGAGGAGTGGTACTGTCCACAGTAAGCTGGGCCCTCCCACATCAACCATCAATCAAGAAAATGTATCACTAACTTGCTCGATGGCCAATCTGGTGGTGACATTTTTTTTTTCAACTAAAGTTCCCTCTTCCCAAATTACTATAGCTTTTGTCAAGCTGACATAAAACTAGCTAGCATGGTAACAAATTCTCTTCCTGTGATGGCTACTCTTAGCTGTCAATTTAACTACATCTGAAATGGACTACAATCCAGAAATGGAAAGCACACCTGATTTTTAACTTAGTTTGAAGTGGGTGAATCCACTTCTAGTCTGGGTCTTTGAAGTAGGAAGACATATGACTTTGATCCAGATCTTAAGGCAGGAAGACACACCTTTAATCTGGGCCATACCTTCTCCTGCAACTCTATTTAAGGGCATAGAAGGAAGTATACACTCTTTGCTTTCTTGCCCTCCTCTTGCTAGTACATCTATTACTTCAATGGCATTAGAGCCTACTTCTTCAGGATTCCAGCATATACTGAAGACCAGCTGGGACATCCAGTCTTGTGGACTGAACAACTACTGGATTCTTAGACTTTACATTCACAGCTTGTGTGTTCAGTTTATTCCGTGTGTGTGTGTGTGTGTGTGTGTGTGTGTGTGTGTGTGAGAGAGAGAGAGAGAGAGAGAGAGAGAGAGAGAGAGAGAGAGAGAGAGAGAGAGAGACACATAAAGAGGGGGGAGGGAGAGAGGAAGGGGGGAGGGAGAAAGAGAGAGGGAGAGGAGGAGGGGAAGAGAGGGAGAGAGGAAGAGAAGGAGAGAGGGATTTTCATTCTGTAAGTTCTGTTACTCTAGAGAACCCTAACTAGAACACTTTCTCACCTTAAAATTCTCTCATTTCCTTTAGGTCTCTACTCAAATGCCACCTTCTTTTTTATTATCATTTTTATTTTATGTGAATGAGTGTTTGCCTGAACATACACATATGACTTCAGAGGTCAAAGACAGTGTTGAAACCCCTGGACCTGGAGTTATATTTATGAGCCATCATGTGGGTGCTGGGAATCAAACACAGGCCCTCTGCAAGCGCAGCAAGTGCTCCTAACTGCTGAGCTACCTCTCCAGCCCCAAATGTCACTATCTGAAACGGGACCTTTCTGACAACTATTTTAAATTGTTACACTGTTACTCTCTATTCCTTTCTTGTGCTTTGTAGTTTTTTTCCTAAAATACTTATCACCAGGGTAGAGAAACAGTTTAGGCAGTTACGTACCACCCAAGCATGATGGTGTATGCTTGTAATCCTAGCACTAGGTAGAGACTGGAGGATTCCTGGAGTTCACTGGCTAGACAGGCTAGTCTTAACTATCAAGCCCCAGGTCCTAGTAAGAAACCTTGTTTCAAAAATCGAAGTGGATGGCTCCCAAGGAATAATAGCTGAGGTTGACCTACGGCCTTTATACGTATGCACGCACATGCACATGCACACCCACACAAAATAAGCTGTAAAAAAATGTATTACCACTTGGCATGTAACTTCCTTACTTGTTCTGTGGTTTACTTTCTACCACCAGCATGTACTCTCCACAAGAGTAGTAACTTCTATATTAACTCAATGTATCTGATATACAGTAGGTATTAATACATACTCACTGAGTAAATAAGGAGCTTTGTTTTACCTACGTGTTTACATAAAATGATCTCCAATATGTTTTCCAGAAAATAAATAACAAAGGCAGTTTGGTCTTGTCCTAGTCTAGAACAATGTAGTGGATCTTAGCCCCTACAATCAATCCTTTTAAAGAACATTCTATTTTTTATAGTTCTGATCAGATATGTTACTGAATAAACTGAGCACACAAGCTAGCTTAACCACAATGTAGTATTGTAATCAAATAAAACTTACAGCAAAGCTAATCAGACACATCTTTAATGACATGCATAATTGTTATTGTCTGCACGGTAACTAGGCATAAATGGCAGACATTCCATGTAAATGACACTAATTACTATTCCTGTTACACAGCCAAACCAAGCACGTCTGGGATCAGCTTCAGGGAGACACAGAAGGGAGGGAGAAACCTGGGTATTTAACTGAGAAGTAAGAACTCTCTTACTCTACTCCTCAGGAATTAGATAAATGGTCTCCAGGCTCCGTTTTGTGGCTTATTCCCATTCTCGAGATGGGAAACTTTCCCTCTTTGGTATGAGAAGCCTGCTATTCAAGATTTAGAAATTACATTGAGAGGAACAAGAAACATCACTAATTTATGCCTCTAACAAGGAAGCTGTGGACACACAGGAAAGCTGGCAGAGACTGAGAGATCAGATTTGTTGAGAACCAAGTAAAGGCCACACACACTCAAGTGTTTCACATAATTCCTAACTTCTCCAGCCTACCTAGATCCCCAAATGGTTCCCAAGACAATAGGAGTAAGCAGACTATGGGATGGGTCCAGTGAGAATTCCCTGCTCCAAAATCTACAAGGCCTAAAATGGCAGCTTTCCTGATCCAGAGTAAGACCCCAGTGTCTCAGGACATGATCTTGTCACTGACCTCCTTTCTCTCACTGCAATCTTTGTTGCAGGGACATTTACTCTAACCAACTGTAATTACTTTCCTGAGTAAAATTTACTTTCCCAGTAAGACCACAAACCCCTTGGTAGCAGAAACCATGTTTTAAAACTTCTCTAGTAACCTACGTAAAAGGCTTGCCAACAACATCTTTAAGTGTTCCAGGGCCTGGAGATGGCTTGGTGATTAAAAGTGTTCAGTGCACAATCATGAACATAGTACAATCATGTACATAGTACACATGTAACAAGCTGGCCATCCCACACATGCGGGTAACACACATGCTCACCTCTGATCAGAGTGAGGAGGAGGATCAGAGGGTTTGCTAAAGTCTAGTCTAGCTGAGAGAATGGGAGTCCCATGTTCAAAGAGAGAACCTGCCCAAAGGTGGAGGAACAGGTGGAGAAGAGGATACTCAATGCCCTCTTCCAGCCCCTACATACGTGGGATTCAGGGATCAAGAAATAAGTTACCACGTAAGAGTACTGCTTCCTATGCCTGTCCTTGCTCTGAATAATGACATGGAGACTAATTATAAGCTTTCAGTACAACAGCTAAGCAGAGTCTGAGGTATCTGAGGTTATCCTGTATAATCTGACTATGCTGGCCTGCCCTACTTCCCAGCCATGTGGCCTGTTCCCTGCCATCTGAGTCTCACCCTGGCAGCTAGATCCTTCTTCACCATGTCTCTCTGTCTCTTTCCTCCCCTCCATCTCCCTCTCTGGGCTCAGAAGTCCTGCTTTTTCCTCTCCTGCACAGCTATTGGCTATTCAGCTCTTTATTTAACCAATAAGAAAGTGATGGAGAACAATGTTTACAGAATACTGAGTCAGGAGATGCTTCATAATAATGGCAATACCAAAGTCCAGACTGCAACCAGATCTCTAGGTACAGAAACCAGTATTTGAATACACAATGCATAAAAATATCCCCAACATTATCAGCTTTGGTACCCACTGGCCATTTTACCTGCCCTAGGATCTCTGACAGTTATGACATGGGTGATAAGCAAAGATATCCAGCAGAATACTAGTCTACTCCAGGTATCTTTGGGAAGGGCACTCCTGAACCTTCAGGGTCATGGATAGCTAGACTAACAACTCATGTATCACCACTGTAGCTGAGCCGAGGGGTTCTTTCTGCTAATTTTAATATATAAAATACTCCACACATATACAATTTCAAATTTAAATACATCTAAATTATAAAACCAAGAAGCACGAAGAAGTTTGCAACACTTCCAATTACCTAAGGCTTACATGTCATTTAAATGTTAGCTGAGGGAGAGCTAGCTATGTTGACACTATCTTGCTAGACATTAAAATGGTAGAAAGAAAGAATCCAGATGTTATATCAAGGGATATGATTAACAAAAATATTTTCTTGGCCCACATCTCACACTGTATAATCTTAAAAAGGTAGCACATTAATTTCAGTGTAACTCAGCAGATACATATAGGACAGAAATATAAATTATGGATATTTTTAATAGCTGTTTCTAAGTAGAATGTCCGTTGAAATAAACCACCAAGAAATTTATTTTAAATAAAAAATGGACCATTCTAGAACTTAAGCTTCAAGTTCTTTAAAAATGCCAATATTTAAACATGTAAAAAAAAAAAAAGAAAAGAAAAAACTAAAAGAAAAGGTCTACTGCATTGTATTGGCTTTTCAGCTATTCACAGTAAACAGCGAATGGAAAATTAAAAGAAAAGGCTTTTTCCCTTTTCCTTCTCCTGAGGAACTTGGTACTGGGTAACATACCTACTAAGGACAAGGAACACGAATGTACTAGAAAATTAACTAGGTATAAACAATAGCAACTTTGAGGAGAGAGCTCCTACACCGTATTATATGGGATTATAAAAGTACTGTGCAAAAAAGTTAGGAGTTATGCTGTCAGCTGGGTATGGTGATTCACACCTTTAACCCCAGCATAAGGATGCAGAGGCAGAAGGATTTCTAAGTACAAGGCCAGTCTGGTCTACATAATGAGTTCCAGGCCTGCCAAAACTATATAGCAAAACCTTACCTCAAAACAAAACAAAAGAAAGCTAGGCTCTCCTGGTGAGTTGTTACCTGTTTCCTGCTCCATCAGACCATTGCAGTACATGGCATGTTGCTCAATCTTTGTGGGAGCAAAGTCTTGGTGACACAGTGGGCAGGATACCCGGGTACGAGAGGAGCCTGCAGCAGGAGGATGTCCCTTCTTACCATCTTCCTTGTTATCAGCCTAGAGAGCATAGCAAACAGCAATGGTAAATGACAGCTTCAGTTTATGTCTTTTCCCACAAAGAACAAGACGCATTTCATTGACTTTCCAAGAAACAATACCTATCAATTTTTACCAGATTCAAGACCAAAGACTGAAAGCAAAGACTTAAGTATTTAAAGCTCTAAATAAGTCAATTAGTTAAGACCATCAGTTTTTCTGAAGCCATTTACGTTTTCTCTCTTGCTCCCATAGCTGCTAGCATCTTGCATAGTTTCCAACTTTTGTTTATTTAGGATGTAAGTGGGTGTATTTGTTGTGTATGTCCATGCCATATGTGTATACATGTGGAAGTTTGGGAGTTAGCTCTGTTTCCCTTGTTGAGGCAAGGGCTCTCTTGTTTTGCCACACTTTATATTCCAGGGTGGCCAGCTGTCTGTTGCTGTGATGAAACACCATGACCAAAAGCAACTTGGGGAGGGAAGGGGTTACTTCACTTATAATTCCCTATTACAGTTCATCATCAAAGACAGTCAAGGCAGGAACTCAAACAGGACAGGAACCTGGAGGCAGGAGCTGATGCAGAGGCCATGGAGGGGTGCTCCTTCCTGGCTTGTTCTCATCACTTGTTCAGCCTGCTTTCTTACAGAACCCAGGACCAACAGCCTACGGTTGGAACCATACAAAATGAGCAGGGCCCTCCCCTATCAGTCGTTAATTAAGAAAATACCCTATAGGTCTGCCTACAGCTCTGTCCCTTCTGGAGGTATTTTCTTAATTGAGGTTTCCTCCTCTCAAATGACAGAAGCTTGTGTCAGGTGACACAGGACTAGCCAGCTCTCAAGCTTCAGTTCTACTGTTCCCCACGCCTTCTTGCCATAGGAGTCCTGGGATTATGCATGTGCATCATCCAGCCTTTAGTTTGGGTTTCAGGAACCAAACACAGATCATCAAGCTTATACAGCAAGCACTTTACCTGCTAAGCCATTTTGCTGGTCCAAACTAACTGTTCTGTAGGAAGTAAGGAAATTAAAGTGGATCTGAAAGTTCTACATGATATTCCAAGGTTAGTCACTAAGTTTCTTACAAACCTAGGTTCTACTGTTCAAAGATCTTACAGGAAATACTATAAGGTACATGCAAAGCTATTTGAACAAAGAGAGGAAGCACATACACCCTAAATATGCAAGCAGTCTGGAGTTACTGAAGGTTAGTGGTTACTGAGAAGCTACTTGGCATTCTAAAGTTCACTAAGCACAATAATGTGCTATAAAAGGAATGTCACAAGTGCTCACAAAAACCACTATATTGCTTTGTACTCATCTGCCATTTTATAAAATACAGTGAATGTACCCATAACTATTAATGTATTTAAGAAAAGGGAGTCTTTCTATTTATTGTCTCACTGTGATTGAAATGACTTCTAACAATGTTATACAAAACTCAGAACATTTCTGAAAATTCTTATCTTAAAAATAAAGACATTTTCCTCAATACCACTGAAAAGGTCTATTTAAATATTAACTACCAGAAAGGGATTACAAGGCGGAAAGCCTGAGCAAAGCACTCTTCTTTATTAGGATATGCGACTGATCAGAAATTTGTCTCTAAGAGCTGTTTCTTTTGTTTAAAAATACCATCCAGGCAAGATGGCTCAGAGGATAAGGATGCTTAACACCAACTCTGCTGATTTGAGTTCAATCCCTAGAATCTACATGAATGGAAAAACCTATCTCCTAAATTAAAAAAAAAAAACTATCTCCTGCAAATTGTCTTCTAACTTACACACACCATATGTATAAAATAAATAAGTGAAATGCCATACAATGAGATATCAAAAGTGGTACTCAAGACACAGAATTATAATCCCTTGTAGGTATGTCCAATATATGATTCTCAGGCCACATCCCGGGAGAGAAGTGAATTCCACCTACTATATTTATAAATGACAATACCATGTCATTACATCAGATAATTGAAAATCTTTTTTTTGGGGGGGAGGGGAAGATTTTGTTTGTTTGTTTTTCAAGACAGGGTTTCTTTATTGAGTCTTGGCTGTCCTAAAACTCATTCTATAGACCAGGCTGGCTTCAAACTCAGAGATCCACCTGCCTCTGCCTCTGCCTCTGCCTCTGCCTCTGCCTCTGCCTCTGCCTCTGCCTCTGCCTCTGCCTCTGCCTCCCAAGTGCTTCTATATGACTCTTAATTCACATAAAAACTTACTAAACTATCAGTGTGGCCTGAAACAACTTCTCTTAACTCACCTGAAGATGGTATATATATGATAGTACACCTAAAAAATTCTCAAAAACAATAGAGAAAATATTATTCCATTATTTACAAAGAAAATTGACTACTGTGAGAAATGAAATCAAGAGACTGTAGTCATAACAAGGAAGCTCTCCATAAGTCAGTACTACCAATTGGCTACCCCACTAACAAGCTAATATCACTGAACAGTAAAAAAAACTTTCAAAGCAGAAAAACTATTTCTATATGTACACTTCTATATGTTTTATACTCTGTCTAATTTAATATTTTAAGAAACCCAGTTTTTAAAAATGTATTTGGGGAGCCAGGCAGTGGTGGCACACACCTTAAATGCAGCACTCAGGAGACAGAGGCAGCAGATCTCTACGTTTGAGGCTAGCCTACTCTACAGAGTGATTTCCAGACAGCCAGGGCTACACAGAGAAAGCCTGTCTCATAAAATGAAAGCAAACAAACAAAAAGAACCTGTTTCAAATGGCAAGGTATAGTACATTGCTTTTTTAATCCCAGCACTCAGGAGACAGAGGCAGGTGGATTACAGTAATCAAGGCTACTCTTCAACTTCTTATAATGGAAACTTCCAAGATTAGAGGCACATACAGACATAAATAGTAACAGTGAAAAGGGCTCATCTGGTATGCAACAGTCTGGACATGGCCATCATAAGTTCTAAACAGGGTTTATGTTCTTTGGCCCGAAGAACAGTACGTTTTGTGGTTATGGATGGGTATGAAAGCAGCGTTGATAACTAAAGGCCTGTAGGGCTTTATCTGTATGTTAGGATAACTAGATTACTGATACCCTGTTCTCTGTGTATCTTCAGGAGATATGCGCCAGAAACTAATTTTTTCTGCACTACCATTAGGAAATCCAGTCTATTACACACCAGGCTCCAAGAAATTTATATATGATTCATGAAAGCAAAGGTTCTAACCAGTTACCTGCCTTGCAAAGACTAAGAAAAGGATCTAACATCTACTGTGAAAGTTCTTTCCAAATATCCCTTTACAGTATAAAAAGGAATGAGAGATTTAAGTCTCTTTTAAAGTGTTCAGGACCATAAACATAAATATAAGCAAAATTTTTATTTCTATAGAAAAATTTATTCAATCCTCCATCAAACTGCTTTTTACAGCAACAGAATTACTGGAAAATTACTTAGTCAAACCCAACATGAAAAATACATAGTAAAGGACCTAGAGAGATGGCTAAGCGGGTAAAGTACTTTCTACTCAAGTATGAGGGCCTGAGTTTGAATCCTTAGTAATCACAGAAAAGCTAGTAGTGCATACCTATAACTCCTGCACTAGGTGGGCAGGGAGGGGCAGCAGAGATGGGAAGGACCCAGGGGTCTGTTGGCCCACCAGTTTAGCCAAAATAGTGAGCTCCAGATTCAGTGAGAGACAGATCCTGTCTCAAAAAGTAAGGAGGAGACTGACTGAGGAAGATAACATGGAATACAAACAGGTGAATGTGCACACACACACACAAATTTTTTTTTCTTTCTCTCTCTCAATCTCTCTAAGAATCTTTGTCTTAAAAAAAAAAAAAAAAAAAAGTCAGTCTCTCTGTGTAGCCCTGGGAGTCCTGGAACTCACTCTGTAAAGCAGACTAACCTCGAACTCAGAGAGACATCTGCCTCTGCCTCTCCAGTGCTGGGATGAATGGGACCCTGGGTCACTCTAATAATCTCAACTTCATGGCTATGGTCAGGCCTGTGTGGTCAGGGACCGTGAATGATGCAAACAGAGATTCATTTATTTGTCTTCCCTTTGTATTTCTGATAACAATTATAAATTAATGTTGAAAAATATCCTTATGTTATACAGTGATTCCACCATTGTTCATGTCTGCTCCTTATCTGTATGTAATGGAAACTGTCTCTATAGATTTACACACAAACCTATGCTCAGGCTCTACTCCATCATTAATAGTAATATGCAACAGCAAATCACATAAACATTCTAAATCTTTCTTCTCCCATCTCTAACAGAAATAATGAAAGTATTCAAGAAATGGGAAGTGTCCGGCCTTGGTGGCACAAACACTTAATCTCAGCACTCAAGAATCAGAGGCAAGTGGATCTCTATGAGTTTGACGCCAGCCTGGTTTACATAGTAAGTTCCAGGACAGCCAGAGCTATGTAGAGAAACCCTGTTTTAAAAAACAAAAATAAACAAACAACAGAAATGGTGATATTTTTAAACAGTGCTGAATGGATAATTTATAAAAATTTCTGAGAAAATGACCCTAAAGTTAAAACCCTATTACACCAAAATCTTCTAAGACAAGGTGAATGCTGTATCATACAGAAGACGAATAGCATAGACAAATGACCGAGAGAAGTCACAGAGAAGAGTATTCACCTGCTTATCGCTCACTGCCATTCTTACTTCAACGGGGAGCACTCTGCTATCTGGAGCATCTTCTCTATTGAGGTCAAGGGGCTCAAGGGAACTTAACTGTGTCTCTGTAATTAAAGAAGAAAAGGAAATATCAATCATTTTCATTTTGCTTCTTGCACTCTAAAGTTTAGAGTATGGTAACATTTCACTGACAATATAGACCTAGTTTATTTCCTCCTGAAGTTTTACTGTGACTTAATTTACATATAACAGAATTCACCATTTTTTCAGCTTATAATTTGATGGGTTCTGACTAATTTATACTATGTAACTACCATCCAATACAGAAAATATGTTTCCAGCATCCCATTAAAACCCTCCTGTGCCCTTTAAGTCAACTGTACAAACCTACTGTATGCTCCTGCCATTTTGTCTTTCTTGGAATATCATCTAAATGGAATCAGCCAGATACGGCAGCACACACTGTAATCCTAGCTATTCAGGAGGCTGAGACAGAATTCAAGTTCAAACCTGGGACAAGATAGTGAGACTTGCCTTTTAAAAATATAAAATTCACACAGTGTATAGTCTTTCGTGTCATCAATTACTTAATATCATGTAACTAAGAGGCAACCACGCTGTCAGATGCTTCAATGGTTCATCCCTTTTTTCTGGTAAGTAATACTCTATTGAGTGGATACATGACAGTTTGTCTATCTACCTACCAGGCAATCTACTTGGCTTATTTCACGGTAGTACTAGTTTCAAAAAACTTTTGACAGAAACCAAAAACTGCCTATATTAGCTCTAAGGTTAAAGGGATAAATAGGAAAAATATAAAGTAGGGCAAAAAATAAGAATATGCATTCATTACAAAGATATGCCATGGGGCTGGAGAGGTTAAGAGCACTGACTAATCTTCCAGAGGTCCTGAATTCAATTCCCAGCAACCACATGGTGGCTCACAACCATCTGTAATGGGATCTGATGCCCTCTTCTGGTGTGTCTGAAGACAGCAACAGTATACTCACACATATAAAATAAATAAATCTAAAAAAGAAAAACAATAAACAAAAATTTTTTTAAAAAGATATGCCATTCTTTAATATGTGCTTTAAGCACTGTCTACTAGTTCAACAAACATTAGTGGAATAACAAGTCCCAGGCATTGTACTACCACTACTACTAACTCCAAGATAGAGTGCAGATCGGGAGCGGCAAACTACTGATACCTTCTGGGCCCAATCTGGCTACCTGCCCGGTTTTGTAAATAAGGCCTTATTGGAACAAAGCCATATTCATTCATCTATGTATTGTTCATGGCTACCTTTGCAGTAAAACAGAGATGAGTAGTTTTTACAAAATATCTAGCCTAAAGAGCCTAAAATATTTACTAATCTTAAAGAAAAAAGTCTGGGGGAGGTTTGGTGATTTAATTAAAAAAAAAATTTAAGTTTGCTAACTATAAGTTCTAGACACCTAATAATATAACAAGTGAATGCTAATTAAATTTTAAATGACAGCAAATCTGGTAAAGAAATGTTATAAACTCAGTGTCTATGTCCCATTTGAATGAAGGATGGCATCGTACTATCAATGATGGCAGCAGGAAGTGGGAGGATTTTGGTCATAAGAGTGAAGAAATAATCCGGGCAGTGGTGGCACACGCCTTTAATCCCAGCACTTGGGAGGCAGAGGCAGGCGGATTTCTGAGTTCGAGGCCAGCCTGGTCTACAGAGTGAGTTCCAGGACAGCCAGGGCTACACAGAGAAACCCTGTCTCGAAAAATCAAAAAAAAAAAAAAAAAAGAGTGAAGAAATAAAAAGATGGGATGAGTGTCCTTACATCAGAACACTAGAGGGGGCTTTCACTTTTTCTCCATGTAAGGACACAGTGAGAGGGTACATCTGTGAGCAAGGAGGTAGGTTCTCACTGGTGGGTTCTGTCCATGCCTTGTTCTTAGACTCCTCAACCTCCTAAACTCTGAGAAACATATGTCCATTGTTTATAGCAGTCTATGGCATTTCCTTTCCTTTTCTTATAACTGTTTTAAAATTTATTTTCTTTTTTTCTTTGTCTGTATATAAGTCTGCCTGTTGGCCATAGAGGCTGGAAGAGAGCACTGGATCCCCTAGAACTGTTATAACAGATGACTGTGAGCCACTCTATGGGTACTCACTCATGTGGGTGAACGCAGGTCATGTGGAAGAGCAGTCAGTGCTCTTAACTCTGAGCCATCTCTCCAGCTCCAATGCTTCCCTATTATAAGTGTAACTAAGATAAAAAAAACTCCATCTCAGAAGGAAGTCCTGTAAGTTCTATACTTCTGAACAGAAGACACTGGGCAAATAAACCATCTATAAAATTCTAAACTATCTTCAAAATGATTAAGTTACTAAATACATTTATAGTGTTAACTATATTTGAAAACTGGACACACACATACTTTTTCCACTTTGGTGGTAAAAGGCTCAAAAACTGCAAAATCATCTGTGTTAAATTTCCCTGAAAGAGCTTACCACCAAATACACTGTTCAAAGATAAGAAGCACTCACCATAGACTACTACAGTAATAACAAGTATGAACAGATGAATGGTCTAACTATGAAAACACTTAAGGACCTTGGTGCCTCAGAAACAATACTGGTAGCATGCTGTGGCAGTTAACCTTGATCGTCAACTTGACTGAATTAAGAGTCCTAGAGATTAAAAGGCAAAGATGGGTGAGTCTGTGACAGCATTTCCAGAGACAATTAGACCACGAAGGCTCTGACCCAAAGAATGGGGTAACCTATTGGACATTCACAGTGATGGCTTCATCAGGTGACAAAGGGAGGAGGGAAGCCTGATTAAAAACCATCGGCCACTCATCTTATGTCCTTAGGGAAGTATGGTGTCATTGCTTTATACATGAGGTAAGGGAGCCTCTCTGCCACACGTGCCCACCAGGATTATGTTGTGCTCCAGTGCAGGGAAATATGCAACTACTGACTAAAGCCCCTGAAACTGAGTTAAAATAAATCTTGAGGCTGGAAAGATGGCTTCGTAGTTAAGAGCACTGAGTACACTTCCTGAGGACCTGGATTTAATTCCCAGCATCCATGTCACAATTATTTGTAATAACAGTTCCAGGGGATCCAGTGCCCACCTCCGGCCTCCATGAGAACTGCGTGTACATATGCATAGTGCACATATGCATGTAGGTAGAACACTCTGTATATGAACAAACAGTGCTAGCTAATGAGAGGGGAAAGTAAGCCCTTCCTAACTAAAGTCAGTAACTTTTACGATCACGACTTCCTATCATTAGCTTATAGATTCAACAGTCTTCTGACCTAACCCCTTCCATGTGGATGCTGGGATGCAAACTGGGTTCTCTGGAAGAATAGACAGTACGGCAAGCCATGTCTCCGGCCCCTAGGACTTTCTTTTACTTTTTATTTAGCATACAAAACAATGGCTTGCAGGGCGGTGGTGGCACACGCCTTTGATCCCAGCACTTGGGAGGCAGAGGCAGACGGATTTCGGAGTTCGAGAGTTCGAGGCTAGCCTGGTCTACAGAGTGAGTTCCAGGATAGCCAGGGCTACACAGAGAAACCCTGTCTCAAAAAACCAAAAACCAAAAACCAAAAACCAAAAAAAAAAAACAAAACAATGGCTTTCATGATCACATTTCATATATACTTGTTTTTATGACCCTCCTCCCTTACTCCCTGTCCATCCCCCTCCTCCCCTACTCAGATCTTTCCTTCCCCAGGTAGTCCTCTTTACCTTTCAGGTCACATGTATTCTATTACCTTATTTTTTTTTTAGAAAATCTTTTTGCCCTTTCATGGCCCTCTTTTTAGTTTTATCTCCTATCCCACACCCCCTCAAACATGTAAAAATTTGAATCTATTCACTAAGACTTTCATGATCATTATATTTGCAGGTTGTTCCTGAGAGATGCCACAATGACATCATATACCATCATGTCAAACAGGTAGACTGACTTCCCAGAAGGATGGCAAAATTCATCAATTCTACACAAAGAAGGGGGCCAAGTTTTCTTTTTCACAAAGACAGCACCACATTCTTAAGTGTCCTTGCCAAAATCAGAGTGCTTTGGTAATGGAGTCTTTTAGTAGGTATCATTAGGCAGTAATCCAAATACATTTCAAATGTATTAAGAAACCACTTTGATTAAAAAACAACATTACTTACATTCTTAAAACAATAAAAACTTTTTTGATAGGCTGCCAAGTATTTTTTTTTTTTTTTTTTTTTTGGTTTTTCGAGACAGGGTTTCTCTGTGTAGTCCTGGCTGTCCTGGAACTCACTCTGTAGACCAGGCTGGCCTCAAACTCAGAAATCCGCCTGCCTCTGCCTCTGCCTCCCAAGTGCTGGGATCAAAGGCGTGCGCCACCACTGCCTGGCGGCTGCCAAGTATTTTAAAGTATTTATAGGATTTTTCCTAGAGTGCACGTTAACTTTTAGCCTTTGTGGAAAAAATTAAAATAAAAAAAACTAGGAATACTCTGACAGGGTATACATGTTCTAAATGAAAGCCAAATATGACTTGAAGTAGCATCTGTATAGTACTTATTTTCCAGTGAGTTTAAATATCAGTAAGTACTTCCTTTAACCTCACATGAATGACATTCCTGATGAATCCAATGGGATCTTCTTTTAAAACAAAAGAAAGGTAAACTAAAACAAATACCTTAGAAAATAAAAGTGGTTCATTTAGCAAAATAATTCTTCAGGTCGTACACTGACTCATCAAAGAGCTCCCTTAGGCAGTGGCTCTCTTCGCTCATTTTACATTGTTCTATAGGTAGAAGTCCAGCCACATGAACCTCTCAATTAGCATATCTTATGCCTAGTCAAGGTATACTTCCATCTTTATAATGACAGACTAAAGCATTTAACTAGGTCTTGTCTATGACTAAAACTATCCCAGTCATGAAACTGCACAAAAATTCAGTTCCCAAACTCATAATAACTCATACCAAAACTAACTAGTAGTAAAGGGCAATGCTTAATAATGAAGGTGACCCACATAGATTAAACGTTTCGTAAGTCCCCTGGGCTCTGAATTTACTGTTAAGTAAGGATTACTCTTGACTTTTTGTTGCTTCTTCAGATCACATAGTAGACAAGAAAGCAAAAAGCCATATTAATTTCAAAACCAAATTACCCCTAAGCAGAAAATAAGGTTGTTAATCAGAACCTGTGTCCACTAGAAACAAGTATATGAGCGTGTATGTGGTGATAAACACATACACACATAAATCATAAATAACCCTTCTCAGAATGGTTTGAATAGTCAGAAACTTAATAGGAATAAAAAGGTAGATAAGTAATATCAGAATTCAGTAAAGCCATGGGGCACTCACCAGGGCAAACAGTGATTTCTTCTGCAGAACTTTCTGGCTTAAGAACTAAACTTCTCTTACTGGTCAAAGCTGAAATGCTGAAAACAGAATCAAATGACAAGTGAACTCCTCATAGAATAAAGCAGAGCACAGGCCCACAAGCAATGATGGGTCCTTTAAATATCTGCAAGTGAAAAGATATATCCTGTACAGTGTCACAACCAGAAAGCAAGGCATCCATAGTACAAGTCGCCAGACAGAGGGAAAACACGAATGTGTTCACCTTTGGATCCAGTGAAATTAGTAAATCAAACGAAGCTCCCTTTTGTTGTCTTCACGATAGAAGGTTAAAGGGTACGGAATACCAGTAACTATCAGAGTAGACCAAAATTATACTACAGTATAAAAATGTCCAAAGTGTTTTGCAGTCTGGCTACCAGTTACAGCCTTGTGAAGAGAAGAGACATATAAACGCAGAAAACATGGAGATTCTCCTGACAGCACAGTACTTTTTCCTCACCTTACAGTTAAAGTTTCTCTTTATCTTGAGATACAGCTTTCCAAGCAACAAAAATAAAATAAAATCCCAAACTATCCTACAGCAAAATTCTGCCCACACAAGTTGAGTATCTCTTCTGGGAAAAACTTAATGATGAATGACTTCCCCTATCCAACCTTCTGGTTTTTCCTGCCTGTTTGTTCATGGAGTGTGATCTCTTCCTGACACCAGAACACATGGCTGAGAGATCTGAGAATCTGAAATAGTCCCCTCATGCTTCACAGAGTTTTACGATTAGTTTGATCAAGTATGCAAGAAGACACTTTAAAACACACATCCTCACATCAACCAAGAGCCATGGAGAAGAGAGACTAGCCAGCACTGAGACTCATGATAAATAACTAAACCATGACAGGAAACCACAAGTGACTTCTCCCTCTAAATAAAACATTTCAGAACATTTGTTATAAACCCAAGCTAGACACAGTTTACGCTGCATGTAACATTAGGGCTCTATTCAAAAAGTCTATCATAAGACAATTTGCTGACATTTATAAAATGGGCTAATCAATTTGAAGTCAAACCACATTGTATGTGATTTCAACTCTCTCCTGGTGACAAAGTGTGTAATCATTTATTAAAACCTACATCTGCTCTGCACAGGCTCACCACAATAAAACAGAGAGGCCTACAGGGAGCAGAAGACCAACTCCAGCTTAGAACATTTCCAAAAGTGTCTTAACAGTAAAAGAATCAAACTGCCATCATATTCTTCAGCATAGGGATAGATACCTGATACTATTCACCAAATGCTTAATAAAGACCACTGCCTAAATTACAGTAACAGTAACTGGGCTTTAAACTCCGTATGAGAGATGACAGTCACTCGATACAGAGATCAGCTCTTGAAAAATCCTCCAAACTCAACTGTCAGAAAAGTGGGAAAGTGGCTAGAACCCTGACCCAGTTAATAACCAATTAGCCATTATCTATTATTAAAGAAAGCTTTGGCAGCTAAAACTCAATCAACTAATAAAGAATGGAAGAAGTATGCAAATATAATATCAGATAAGACACTGACCAGACACAAAGTATTAAGTATTGAGTAAAGGTGGTAGAGAATTGGTGTGGCCTGAATAATACACAAGCTTAAGAAATAAGATTTACGGGGCTGGAGAGATGGCTCAGAGGTTAAGAGCACTGGTTGCTCTTCAAAAAGATCTGAGCTCAATTTCCAGTAACCACATGGCAGCTCACAACTGTCTGTAGCACCAGCTCGTGGGGATCTGATGTCCTCACACAGACATATATGCAAGCAAACACATAAAATAAAAATAAATCATTAAAAAAAGAAATAAGATTTAGAAATGCACATAGTAAATGCATAAGCAGACCAGTGATATGGCTGTCTCTGTGGAAGCCAGTAAAGGAGACCATCAGAATAAGAAAAATCAGAATGCCAAAAAAGATAGAGGGAAACATTTGAAAATCTACCAAGTAAGTGAAAGCATATTGGAGAACAAAGGATACCATGTGCACATCAAGCTGAGCACATTAACTATACAGGCCCTTAGTGCACAGAAGGAACTCAGCAGCCATTTCAAAATGCAAGCCAGATAAAAGCAAGGTAGGTCTACCCCTAGGATAAAACTCAGTCCTTACAAGCCTCAGATCCGGTTTCAGGTTTCCATGAGGCAGTGATTACTGCAGTAGACAGATCTGTAGTGGAGACAAATCCCACTTGTGTTATACCATATGGCTTAGAATGCAGTGGCCAGGTGCCATTTTGAGGGTATTAGGGGGAATCTATTCTTAAAAACTAAACTGAGTCTAGAGAGGTGGCTCAGTGGTTAAGAGCACTGACTGTTCCTCCTAAGGACCTGGGTTCAATCCTCAGCATCCACATGGCAGCTCACAAATGTCTGGGAACCTGATGCATTCTTCTAGCATCCCAGGGTACCAGACACAAACTTACATGCAGCTACAACAACCATACACATACAAATAAATAAAAATTTTAAAAAACAAAAAACTGAACTACCCTGGGGGCCTGAGATTAAGGAACATCCACAAGATAGGAAGCCTCAATTTGGTCTGCCACAGAGCTTTAGTCAGGGAAGCTTCTTAAAGGCAGTGTGGACAGCAGCAGGGCTGGACTCTGGCCAAAGGGTATAGGCAACATGAGATTGGCTTAGAATGGATCATGTTTAAGGAGAGACAATCCCATCCATGTTCAGTGGTTGAGAAAAGATCTCATCAACAAGAGCTATGCTGGAGTTTAATAGCTCTGAGCCTTAGGCCAGTAAGGAGATCAAACTTTACAGTTACCTACCTAAATTCATTACTGTTAAGCCCAAGAACTCTCAAGTTCCTGGGGTGTAATGATACCAAAAAGGCATCTCTCCACAGGGTGATTAATATACAGGAGACCTTGAAAACACAAAGGCAGGTCTTTTGCCTGAACCAATCTCAGTGCTATGATAGGATTTCTACGCTCCCAACCCACTTGGGAGACACTCCTTAGATAAACAGCCACTCAAGAAGACACAATATAGGCAGGCTAAAAAGGAGGAGAAACTCTGCCCAGCCCACAGAAGGCAAAGATAAGTGTAACTAACAAACCCTGACATACAAAGAAAGAAAATGGCTGTGAAGAGAGCTCTGGAAGATAGCAATACAGACTCTGTAACAGCACAAACCAAAGAAAAGACACCAACAGTTCACAGTCAAACTGACCCTCCTCCTGACTGCATAGGCATTACTCAAGGATCCAGAAAGACGCTACAGCAACAGCTCCTCTTCTCTTCTTTCTCTGTGTTTATATTCTGCTTTGTGCTTATGTGTGACTTTTCCTACATGTCTACAGGGCCTTTACATTCTTCACTTGTATTACTTGTGTGCATGTGGCCATGCATGGGCAGGGGATCAGAGGACACTTATATCCAGTTAGTCCTCTCCTTCCACCATGTCATCTGGGGGTCAAACTCAGGTCATCAAGCTTGGGGAGCAAGTACCTTCAGCCCTATTATCCAGAATTTTTCTTGTTTTGTTTTGCTTTTTGAGATTGAGTCTCTCTATGTAGGCCTAGATGTCCTAAAACTATGTAGACCAGCCTGGACTCAAACTCAACAAAATCCTCCTGTCTCTGTCACCCTAGTAAAGGATTTTTCCCCCTTTTTGTGTGTGTGTGTGAGAGAGGAGGGAACTGAGAAATATTGTAGTTAAATATTTTTAAATGTTTTTACTTGTTATTTCTCTTCAAACATTTATCTAATTTTGTTTACCCACTGTTTTTTCATTGAGGGAAAAACTTTTCCCTAATTTCTTTTCTTGAGACAGGATCTCATTGTGCAGCCCTAACGAGTGTGGAACTCATTATGTAGACCAGGCTTGTCTCCTAGAAAGAGCTAGGATAAAGGTATGTACCAGCAGGACCCAGCTTTCTTTCTCACTCTTTTCCCACAATAATTCCTTCTTTCCCCCCTTATAATGTCTTAAGTTTATCTTACTGACTTTTTAATACTCATACTTTTATTCTTTTATTCCCCATCCTACATTTATTAAATTTTGCTTTTGAACTTTTCTATTTAGTGATGCTTTCTTTCTTACTTTCCTGTTCTTGTCTCTTCCCCCCAAATTTTTCTCTATTTCATGTCTTTTTAAATTAATGTATTCATTTTATATATATAAGCACAGTGTAGCTGTCTTCAGATACACATTAGAAGAGGGCATCAGATCCCTCTGATGGTTGCTGGGAACTGAACTCAGGACCTCTGGAAGTGCAGTCAGTGCTCTTACCCGCTGAGCCATCTCTCCAGCTCTATCTTACTTCACTCCTCCTCCCTCTTCTTTTCATCTATTTAACTTTGCTCCTCACTTTTCTCCCCTTTTCTAGTCTCCTTCTCTCTCACTCATTTGCTATTTCCACACTTTCTTTAAAGAGTGTTTAACTTCATACCACATTCTATAGCAGAATGGTACTTTCAGTCATATGATTATTAGTGACTATATATTAATGAGCTATAATTGATTTTGTGTATTTCTATATCTAATACAGTTTGATATTATTGCTGCTATAGCAGTATGTTTCCTCCTGAGTGTACACCTTCAAGAGTAGGCTGCTAAGTAAGAAGATCCACCTTCAAAACCCCACAGAGCTAGCCAAACCAACAGATACATAAATCACAATGAAGAAATACAAGAAATATATAGTCAGGACAACACAACTCCTCTAAAAGACCATAATCCTCAACTACGGAACTTAAAAGCACCAAAATATGTAAAATGCACATGAAGCTTTCAAATATTTTCTGGTAAAAATGACTCATGATCTAACATGGCACACAAACATAGAAGAAAAATTCAGAAAGGAAATTGAGATTTTTTTTTCTTTTTTTTGGGGGGGTGGGAAGGGAGAGAGGGAGCAAAGGAAAGAAACAAGGGAGAGAAAGGAAAGGAAGAAACGTGAGGTAAAAAGGAAGGAAAGAAGAAAGAGAAGGAAAAAGGAAGAAATTGAAAAGTTTAATGGACAAAAATCAAAGTAGAGGTGCTGGAGAGACGGCTCAGTAGTTAGGGGCACTTACTGCTCCTTCCAAGAACTGGGTTGGGTTCCCAGCATCCACACAGCTTGAGACCATCAGTTTCAAAGGATCACAGGCATATATACACAGAGTAAAAGAACTACTATTTTAAGTAAAGTAGAGAGCATCGCCAACAGACTTGACTAAGCAGAGGAAAGAGTATCAAGGATGCCACAGATGGAGGACAAAGTGAATCAAATACTACATTCAATTACTAGCGAGAAAAAAAAAATGAGCATTTCCATAACATTTAAGAATTGTGGGATAACCAGACAAGGTGGGCTAAACCTTTAATCCCAGCACTATACGGGCAGAGGCAAGTAGATCTCTGTGAATATGAAGCCAGCCTGATCAACAGTGAGTTTCAGGAGGGCCAGAGGTACACAGTGAAGTAAGACCCTATCTCAAAAAATAATCAATAGGAAAAAAGACACAGCTGCTATGAACACTAAAAACATAAACTATTCAATGAAACTAGAGCAGAAAATTTCCCCAACCTTTTCAAAGAAAGAGACCTTCTGTTTGAAGCAAGAGGCATTTATAACATAGACATGTTCAGAGAAAAACCTCTGTACAATATGTTATAATCATGAAGTCAAACATACAATGCAGGGGCTGAGGAAACAGCTCACACATTAAAGTGCTTGGCATGCAAGTCTAACAACCAGAGTTCAAATCCACAGAACCCCACTGAAATGCTCCCGGGTGTGGCAGTGACCTGTAAGTCCAGTCTCAGAAGGCAGAAATAGGAGACACACACACACACACACACACACACCCCAGCTAGCTGGCTAGCAAGACAAACCACTGGCAGGCCCTGGGTTGAACTGAGACACTGCCTCAGTGAGTAAGATGGAAGAGTAACCTAGACCGATGGTATACATCCGTCCTGGGCTTCTACATGCACACACCTACACACATGCAAAACATGAATATATACACACATGAAAAAAATACAAAGCAAAGAAACAATATTAAAACAGTAAAGGGGAAAACACCAACTCATCTACAAAAGCAAAAGCATCAGAACAATGTCAGTGTGTCACAGCACTGTCCAAAGCCGAGGGAACAGGAAGGATGCGTTTCAAGCACTGGAAGTAAATAACTGTCTGTCACTCAAAGACAGTATATCCAGCTAAAGCATTCTCTAAAACTGAATATGAATACATACAACTGAAGAAGAATAACAGCATTTCAAGGACAGTACAGACCAAGGCAGCTCATGACCTTCAAGCCGGACTGCAGAAGGCATCTAAGCGAGCACTGTGCACAAGGGAAGAAGGAAAGCAGTCTCAACTACAAGAGCACACGGAAGAATAAACTTTAGGAGAGAAATGACTAGACACAAGAGTTCTAGGAAAAACCCACCGAGTCCAACACTGTAAAGCAGCTAACCAATAATACTAATAAGGAAGCAAGAACAAACAGCAATCAACCAACCACAAAACAACCAACAAAATTATGGGAATCAATAAATAGCTCACTATAATAACTTTAAATATAAAATGGCCTCGATTCACCAATAAAGAAACAGAGACTGTCTGATTTATTTCAAACTTCTGTGTTGTCTCCAGGAAAAGTCAAGAGATAGAAAACTCAGAAACCAAAAAAAAGGCTGGTAGAGTTATTCTGATATCTGATAAAGTATTCAAGCCAACTTAGTCAGAAGACATCAAAGGTCACTACATATTAAAAGGGAACAATTTCCTGGGCATGGCAGTGCATGCCTTTCATCCCAGCACTTGGGAGGCAGAGGCAGGTGGATCTCTGTGAGTTCAAGGCTACCCTGAACTATACAGTAAATACCAGGACAGCCAGAGGTAAGTAGAGAGACCCTGTCTCAAAAAAAAAAAAAAAAAGGAAAGAAAGAAAGAAAAACAAAAAATAGAAAGGGAAAAAAGGAAAAAGGGAAAAAAGGAAAAAAGGAGAAAAAGGGAAAAAAAGGAAAAAAGGGGAAAGGGGAGAAAAAAGGAAAAAGGGAAAGAGGGAAAAAGGGGAGGGGAGGGGGAGGGGAAGGGGAAGAGGAGGGGGAGGGGGAGGGGAGGGGGAGGGGGAGGGGAAGACACCTTTCAATTCTATCTCACTCCAGCCAGAATGGCTACCAAGAAAGCAAATAACAAATGCTGCTAAGGATGTGTGGAGATTTACATTTTATAGCCACTATCAGTATGGAGGTTCCATGACAGACAGACAGATGAAAAAGGAGGGAAGGATAAAGGAAGGAAATAAAAGGAGAGAAAAGAGACAGAGAGAAAGAAAGAGAGACCAGAGAATTACCATACAATCTAGCTACATTATGCCATACCTGGTATGCACCTGAAGAACTCTAAGTTGATATACCACAGACATGCTTTATGTCCGTGTTTAAAGTCACACTATTCACAATAGCCAAGAAATGGAATCAGCCTAGATTCTCATCAGTGAATGGATAAACAAGGTTCATATACACAATGGAATGCTGTACAGTTATTAAAAAATGAAATCATAACATTTGCAGGAAAAAATAGGTGCAAGATCAAACAAAATAAGCCAGATTCAGAAAAAATAAAGACCACATACCATGTTCTCCTATGCAAAACCCTAGATTTATATATGTAGTATATATAAATCTATTATGTAATAAATACATGTTAATGTATATTTGTAGATCGTGAAACAAGGGGATTATAAGGGAAGGAAGAGACCTTAAGAGAGGGAAGAATAGAGGTAGGCAGGTAGATCTCTGTGAATTCAAGGCCAGGCTGGTCCACAGACCAAGTTCTAGGATAGCCAGGCCTATACAGAAAAATCCTGTCTCCAAAAACCAAAAAGAGAAAGAGAAAGAGAGAGAGAGAGAGAGAGAGAGAGAGAGAGAGAGAGAGAGAGAGAGAGAGAATGGATAATTTCAGACTAACCGGTGGACCTGTCTGGACAGGACAGGAGAGGGAACACCGAGAGCACAGTGAGCAATGAGGAGCAAGTGGAGGAGACCGATGGTGACATGAAACCTACGGCTCCGTATGCTAATCTGAAAGAAAAAGTAACATAACAGAAAAAGACAAAGAAAGGAAGACAAGCCATAAAGAAGCAGTCCAGGAAGCTAGGAAAGATTAGAGAACAGCAAGTAATAACTTGTGAGATTTATGCTAAGATGACTAGAGTGGGTAAGAAACCCTTTATGATCTCTTCCAGGCTTAATATTTTAGGCTTCTAAGAGATACACATTTGCAAACTTACAGCTAAAAATGATTTCCAATCTCGGCACATAAAGGAGATGAGAGTTCTCTGGCAAGTCTCCATGTATATAGTCTCTTTCAAGGGGTTCCTCTTCCTTACCCTCAAACCATAGGAAGAGACCGGAGACCCACAGCAGAACACACCCTCACCTTTGTGAGGCAGGCACAGAGTCTTCTCCTTCAGAACTCTTCAGAACTTCGTCAGAAGTTTCTTCAACAAACGGACCTTGAGAAGACTGGAAAGATACAAGAAACATCCTGAATACACAGGAGAGCTTATTCTTCCTTTGCTATTTATATAGTGCATGTTTATATGTACACATGGAAGCCAGAGGTCAATCCCGGATGCCATTCCTCAGAAGCTCTATCCGCCTTGGGTTTTTTGTTTGTTTATAACACTCTCACTGTATGAAGACTAAGCTGGTCTCCAGTTCACAGAGATCCTCTTCTAGGATTAAAAGCACACACCACCACACTAAGCCATATCCACCTTGGGTTTTGCTGGGTTTTTGTTTTGTTTTACATTTATTTATCTTTGGGGGAAGGGTGCACATGTTACTGGTACACATGTAGAAGTCAAAGGACAAGTTGCAAGAGTCAGTTCTCACTTTCTACCATGTGGGTTCTGAGGATCAAATTCAGGTCCTCTTTCTTGGTGGTGACAAGCACCTTTTTTCTTAAAACAGCCTCCTTCATTGACCTTACTAAGATGGATGGTTAGCCCCAAGGTATCCATCCACCTGTCTCCAACTCTCCAGCCACCAACACACCCAGCCTTTTTTACATGGGTTCTAGGATTGGAATTTAGATCCTCATGCTTGCATGGCAATCACTCCCAATTGAATGCTCACCTCAGCCCAAATTTCTTCCTCTACAAAAAAGAAAAAAAAATCTTTCAAATTATCACTTAACTGTTAATAGTAAGAATAAAACAAAGGCCAGACACAGTAGCCCATGCCTTTTATCCTAGCACTTAGGAGACAGATAGATACCTGGGAGCTCAAGGCTAGCCAGATATAAAGCTCCTGGATAGCCAGGGCTATATAAGAGACCCTGCCACAAAACAAAATAACCCAGGCATAATGGTACATTAATGCCAGCACTTGGGAGGTAGAAGCAAGCAGATTTCTGTGAGTTCAAGGCTCGTCTGGGTCTAAATAGTAAGTTCCATGAAGAAAGCAAATAATGCTACCTTAAGTGGGTTTTCTAAGAACGTACCCTGGCTATGTAGCTTCTTCCAAGAAAAGCTTCTTTGACTACTCAATGACGTTTTCAAGGGTTTAGCATGTTATTGATACCTTAAACAAGTTTGGGTATCCCTCTATGATTCCAATAAATGATGACTTATAAAAGAAGGGGTTAAGAAAGGAAGGTAAAAGGGAGGAAAACTGAATCTATAATCAAAAGAAAAGGTGTACAACAGTAATGGTCTAGCAAGATGGCTCAGGGGAAAAGGCACTTGCTACCAAGCCTGATAATCTGAGTTCCATCCCTGGGCCTTATACAGCAAAAGGAGAGAAATGGTTCCTCAGAAGTTACCCTCTGACCTGTTTAGGGTCAGTTTTATACAAACTCACACATACACACACACACAAAATAAATAAAATATAACTTTCTAAAAACCCTTGCATTAAAATACAGCGACAATAAATAATGCATCCAACTCTTTAAGTAATGATTTTTTTCTTCGAAAAAGAAAAACAGAAACAGGAAACACTGACACCTAGCGTCCACATAACAGAATTTTGTTGATTTAGAAAACTAGAGAGATGGCTTAGAAGTACCCAGACCCAAGTCAGGCAACTGACAGAACTGATCCCTACAAGCTGTCTTCTGACCATCTCTAACGTGTAGTTACAACCCTCCACACCAATATATACATAATTAAATGTCTTTAAACGTGTATTGCTTTTTTGTTAAGTAAAATGGAAAATAACAAAGACAATGTCAATCTCTGGCCTCCAACCTCTAAAACACACACACACACACACACACACACACACACACACACATACACGCGCACACACACACACACGCAAACCAAAAAAACTCAAAAGCATTGTACTAGACATTTTATACAAACTCACTTTTATCTTTACAACTACATAAAGATGAGGCTGAAGAGATGGTTCAAACTTAAGAACACTTGGTGCTCTTGCAGAAAACCGACGTGGAGGCTCACAGCCACCCCTAACTTCCTTCTCAATACTACAACCCATCATATAACTACAGACCCATCATTAAGTATAATTTTTAGAGTATTCTGTTTTATTACTAACGTTTTTATTAGTATTTGTTATTAGACTTTGAAATTTTTAGTTTCTCTTGTTACCATATTTGTTTCGTTTTCCTTACAATAAAGATTTATGAAGTGATAGCTCTTAAAAGTATTCCTAAAGTATAGGTTTGACTTTTGTATTTGAGTAATTTTGTGTCTTTAGCAAGCCATTTAGTATCAATTTTTACATCTATAAAATGGGAAATAACAATTCCTATTTTTAGATAGTTTAAAGGAAGCTAGAGAAACAAGATACACAATATCCATACATAACACTATCTAGCCACATTTAGAAACAGACTAAGACAGCAATCTAAATGTCCCCAAAAGGAGATTGGGTTCATTAGAAAAAAGTCACCAGAAGCAAAATTAGAAAGATACCATGATGAGAAAGAATAAA